CCCCCCCCCCCCCCCCCCCGCCTCCTCACGTGGACAGCGCCTTGGCGGTATCCCTGAGGGCGAGCGCGGCGGCCCTCTCGTCCGTGGCGGCCTGGTCGCGGAACAGCATGTGGCACAGCCCCACCGCCTGGGGCACCTTTCCCCTGGTCGCGGCCTCGTTGGCGAGGTGGCTCACCACGCTGGTCCAGGCCACGCCCAGCAGCTCTGACAGACGTCGCGCCCTAAGTGTTTGTGGATGTGTATGCGTGTGTGAGAGAGATGGAGGAGGGGGTAGAGCATGAGAGACAGAGAAAGGGAGGGAGGGAGGGGGAGGGAGAGATAGACAGAGATAGAGGGGGGGAGAAAGAGAGAGAGAGAGGAAGGAAGACAGAGAGTCGGTTTAAACATGACAGTTCGACATGAGGTTTTCCTGAAGTTGCGGTGCTTCAGCGACGTCCAGCAGCAGCTCCGGGAGCGCCCTGCCCCCCTCTACGCCTATTTGTTCGCGAACAGCAGTGCGGTACCTCAACAACGCGTGCCGGCATGGCCCATCTCTCCCAAGAACGCTACAAGCACACAAGAGACAGACAGGCATAACATATAATTGGAAAACAAGACACCAGCCCACTACCGTAGGAGAAAACAAGACACGGGAATCCAAGCACGGCGAAGGGCTCAAGGCTCTAGGGGGTTTGTTATATCTGTCGACGCCATCAATGATTCCGAGGTGTGAGGTAGAGAGAGGGGTTGCAATCGCAAGGCGAAAGAGGCCGCGAATTGCACCCATCCGCACCTACCATAGGTGCGACCACCGCCTTCTTAACCCATATACGCAAAAAACCATCAACACTAACAGTATTCACACCAACAACAACGGCACACACCATTGCCTCCGTGAAGCATCTACACCCGCACTATTTACGCCAAATGACCGCACGGCACGCAAGACGCTCAGATACGTGCTGACCCCAACCTGAGTCAATGCTCCAAGCTCGACACCTCGACAGAGCGAAGGAGTGGTCGCAAATACTGAACGGCGCAAACAGATGCCGCCTCTTTGGAAAGCTACAGCCACAACAGCTCTGGACATGGTATTTCCACGCATTTTCATCCTTTGCTGAGTCTACACCCATCACTTCTTGCCGAGACACAGAGATCGATCCGGGAGCCTGATCGCAATATATCTTCATGTCTCGGCGACTCACGGCAACCACCATAGAAAAGACCCCCCACGCTTGGTGATGTGAGAGCTTGGTCCATTGAGAACCCGGCGTGCTCCGTCGCGGCTTTGTAGGGATGCGAGGTCAATGGCCAAACGACTAGGGCACACACTACTATGGGTACCCCCCCCCCCCCCCCCCCCCCGGGGTTTGCCCCCCCCCCCCCCCCCGGGAAGCAA